ATTTCTAAAGAAAAACTTAAAACAGGCAAAAAAATAAAAAAGAACTATAGGAAACTGATGAAAAGAAAAGTATTTCTGAAAAAAATAAAATAAACCCACCCTAAACCAGTAGTTTTGCAAAGAAAAAAAAAACCCTTGCGGTTTTTCCCTCTCATGTGAGGGTTTTTTCCCCTCCTTGAGCTACCACCTTACCGTGGTGGAGGGGTTTGTGTGTCCCAATGATCCCAGGAGCTATGTTGTCAGGGCTTTATGCCTCTGAAAGGTCACCCAAGGCAAGCAGGTCCTGGGGGAGGGACCAGACTAAGAGTAGCTCATCCAGACAGAGGTGCCAGGCAAAAAAATAGGAAAAAAAAAAAAACTGAAGAAAACAAACTAAAGAAAACAAAAAAGACAAAAGAATAGTATTTCTGAAAATAAACAACTTTAAAAAAAACTAAAAAAAACTAAAAAAACAAAAAATAAACTTTAAACAAGCAGAAAAAAACTAAAGAAAACTAAAAAAGAGAAAGAATAGTATAAATAAAATAAAAAAACAGAAAGAAAAGTATATCTGAAAAAAACACTTTAAATATATATATATAACAAAAAAACTAAAAATAACTTAAAACAGGCAGAAAAATAAAAAAGATATAAAGGAAACTAAAGAAAAGAAAAGTATTTCTGAAAAAAAAAAAAAAAAACACCCTAAACCGGTAGTTTTGCACAGAAAAAAAAACCCTTGTGGTTTTTCCCTCTCATGTGAGGGTTTTTTCCCCTCCTTGAGCTACCACCTTACCGTGGTGGAGGGGTTTGTGTGTCCCAATGATCCCAGGAGCTATGTTGTCAGGGCTTTATGCCTCTGAAAGGTCACCCAAGGCAAGCAGGTCCTGGAGGAGGGACCAGACTAAGAGTAGCTCATCCAGACAGAGGTGCGAGGCAAAAAAATAGGGAAAAAAAACTGAAGAAAACAAACTAAAAAAAACAAAAAAGACAAAAGAATAGTATTTCTGAAAATAAACAACTTTAAAAAAACTAAAAAAAAACTAAAAAAAAGACTTAAAACAGGCAGAAAAAAACTAAAGAAAACTACAAAAAGAAGAAAAAGAATGGTATTTCTAAAAAAACTTGAAAAAACACTAAAAAAAACTTAAAACAGGCAGAGAAAACTAAATAAAACTAAAAAAAGAGAAAGAATAGTATAAACAAAATAAAAAAGCAGAAAGAATAGTATTTCTGAAAAAAAAACACTTTAGTGTAGTATAAACAAAATTAAAAAAACAGAAGGAAAAGTATTTCTGAAAAAAACACCCTAAATATATATAACATAAAGAACTAAAAAAACTTAAAACAGGCAGACAAAAAACTAAAGAAAACTAAAAAAGGAGAAAGAATAGTATAAACAAAAACAAAAAAATAGAAAGAAAAGTATATCTGAAAAAAACACCCTAAATATATATATATATATATATAACAAAAAAAAACTTTAAACAGGCAGAAAAAAACTAAAGAAAACTAAAAAAAAAAGAAGAAAAAGAATAGTTTAAAAAAAAAATTAAAACAGGCAGAAAAAAACTAAAGAAAACTAAAAAAAGAGAAAGGATAGTATAAACAAAAAAAACAGAAGGAAAAATATTTCAGAAAAGAAAAACCTATATATATATAAATAAAAAAAAACTAAAAAAAAAAGCTAAAAAAAACAAACTTAAAACAGGCAGAATAAAACTAAAGAAAACTAAAAAAAGGAGAAAGGATAGTATAAACAAAATAAAAAACAGAAGGAAAAGTATTTCAGAAAAGAAAAACCTATATATATATATATAAATAACAAAAAACTAAAAAAAAGCTTAAAAAAATTAAAAAAGGGAGAAAAAAAACTAAATAATACTAAAAAAAAGAGAAAGAATAGTATAAACAAAATAAAAAAAACAGAAAGAAAAGTTTATCTAAAAAAAACCACTTTAAATATATATATAACAAAAAAACTAAAATAAACTTTAAACAGGCAGAAAAAAAACTAAAGAAAAGTCAATATCTATATATATCTGACAAAAAACACCCTAAATATATATATAACAGAAAAAACTAAAAAAAAAAACTTAAAACAGGCAGAAAAAACTAAATAAAACTAAAAAAAGAGAAAGAATAGTATAAACTAAATAAAAAAAACAGAAAGAATAGTATTTCTGAAAAAAAAAACACTTTAAAATATATATATATATAACAAAAAAACTAAAAAAAACTTTAAACAGGCAGAAAAAAAATAAAGAAAAGTTAAAAAGAGAAAGGATAGTATAAACAAAATAAAAAAACTGAAGGAAAAGTATTTCAGAAAAGAACAACCTATATATATATATAAATAACAAAAAACTAAAAAAAAGCTTAAAAAACAAACTTAAAACAGGCAGAAAAAAACTAAATAATATTAAAAAAGAAGTAAAAGAATAGTATTTGTAAAAAAAAAAAAAACTAAAAAAAAAAAAAGAAACATAACAGTATTTCTAAAAAAAAAACTTAAAACAGGCAGAAAAATAAAAAAGAACTATAGGAAACTAAAGAAAAGAAAAGTATTTCTGAAAAAAAAAAAAAAAACACCCTAAACCGGTAGTTTTGCACAGAAAAAAAAAAACCCTTGCGGTTTTTCCCTCTCATGTGAGGGTTTTTTCCCCTCCTTGAGCTACCACCTTACCGTGGTGGAGGGGTTTGTGTGTCCCAATGATCCCAGGAGCTATGTTGTCAGGGCTTTATGCCTCTGAAAGGTCACCCAAGGCAAGCAGGTCCTGGGGGAGGGACCAGACTAAGAGTAGCTCATCCAGACAGAGGTGCAAGGCAAAAAAATAGGAAAAAAAAACTGAAGAAAACAAACTAAAGAAAACAAAAAAGACAAAAGAATAGTATTTCTGAAAATAAACAACTTTAAAAAAACTAAAAAAAAGAGAAAGAATAGTATAAACAAAATAAAAAAACAGAAAGAAAAGTATTTCTAAAAAACACTCTATATATATATATATATATATATATATATATATATATATATAACAAAAAAAACTTAAAAAAAAACTTAAAACAGGCAGAAAAAATAAAGACAACTAAAAAAAGAGAAAGAATAGTATAAACAAAATAAAAAAATCTGAAAGAAAAGTATATCTGAAAAAACACTTTAAATGTATATATACAACAAAACAAACTAAAAAAAAATTAAAACAGGCAGAAAAAACTAAATACTAAAAAAAGAGAAAGAATAGTATAAACAAAATAAAAAAACAGAAAGAAAAATATATCTGAAAAAAATACTTCTAAATATATATATAACAAAAAACAAAAAGAAAATTTAAACAGGCAGAAAAAAACTAAAGAAAACTAAAACAAGAGAAAGAACAGTATAAACAAAATACAAAAAACAGAAAGAAAAGTATATCTGAAAAAAAACACTTTAAATATATATATAACAAAAAAAATTAAAACAGGCAGAAAAAAACTAAAGAAAACTAAAAAAAGAGAAAGAATAGTATAAACAAAATAAAAAAATCAGAAAGAAAAGTATATATATACAACAAAAAACTAAAGAAAACTAAAAAAATAAAGAAAAGAATAGTATTTTAAAAAACTAAAAAAAAAACTTAAAACAGGCAGAAAACAACTAAAGAAAACTTAAAAAAGATAAAGAATAGTATAAATAAAATAAAAAAACTGAAAGAAAAGTATATATGAAAAAACACTTTAAATATATATATATATATATATATACAAAAAAACTAAAAAAAACTTAAAACAGGCAGACAAATAAAAAAGATATATAGGAAACTAAAAACAAAGAAAAGTATTTTTGAAAAAAAAACAAACAAAAAAAAAAACACCCTATACCGGGTATTTTGCACAGAAAAAAAAAACCCTTGCGGTTTTTCCCTCTCATGTGAGGGTTTTTTCCCCTCCTTGAGCTACCACCTTACCGTGGTGGAGGGGTTTGTGTGTCCCAATGATCCCAGGAGCTATGTTGTCAGGGCTTTATGCCTCTGAAAGGTTACCCAAGGCAAACAGGTCCAGGGGGAGAGACCAGACTAAGAGTAGCTCATCCAGACAGAGGTGCCAGGCAAAAAAATAGGAAAAAAAAACTGAAGAAAACAAAAAAATGGAGATCATCGGCTGTGCAGTTGGATAGGATGAGGCCAGAGCAGCAGAGTAGATCCAGAGTGTGTCTTTTAGTGTGTGTCGGGAAGTTGATGAATTGATGGAGTCTAAAACTGTCCAGGCATGATGAGAAGTCTCTGGTGAGGGGAAGGTTGGTGTTGTCAATGTGGATATTGAAGTATATATATATATATATATATATACACCCTTAAAAATGGCAGAAAACTGAAAAAAAAAAAAAAACTAAAGAAAAAACCCTTCAAAGAGGCAGAAAACTGGAAAAAAAACTAACCAACTAAAAACTAAGTTTTTTCTAAAAAAAAAAAAACACAAACAAATAAAAAACAAAAACACAAATCAATAAATATTTTTAATTTAAAATTTAAATTACATTTAAATTTTAAAACACCCTTAAAGCAGGCAGAAAACTGAAAAAAAATAAAGAAACTTAAACATAAAAAACCCTTAAAATAGGCAGGAAATTTAAAAAAAATAAAATAAAAAATAAAAAAAAGATACATAATAGTATTTCTGAAAAAAAACTTAAAACAGGCAGAAAAATAAAAAAGAACTATAGGAAACTAAAAAAAAAGAAAAGTATTTCTGAAAAAAAAAAAAAAAAACCCACCCTAAACCGGGTGTTTTGCACAGAAAAAAAAACCCTTGCGGTTTTTCCCTCCCATGTGAGGGTTTTTTCCCCTCCTTGAGCTACCACCTTACCGTGGTGGAGGGGTTTGTGTGTCCCAATGATCCCAGGAGCTATGTTGTCAGGGCTTTATGCCTCTGAAAGGTTACCCAAGGCAAACAGGTCCTGGGGGAGGGACCAGACTAAGAGTAGCTCATCCAGGGAATCTGCGGCGCAACTGAAGTCATCTCGTCACCTTGCCTGGGGCCAGCGCTGGACCTAAAGCCCCACAGACCCCTGCTTCGCCAGCGGACATCGCACCGGTCCACGACCCAAGAGACCAGGTTACGGTGAGGCCCAACACTACACCGCCGAGGGTCCAAGCGATGGAGAGGCGTTACCCTACCAGAGAGAGAAACCCTCCAAGATACCTTATGGACTTTGAATCAGATAGAAGGTACTCTCGTAACTCTGTGACCAGCCCGGTGCAGAATAATCCCCTCACTCAGATAAAGTAGTCCACCCCACCTTCATAGTTAGGGAAAGAAAGGAAAGATAAGTGAGTGTGATACAATGGTGTTGTTAAACAGTTTGGAATATTTTGATTTATTTTGAAGTTACTTGGAGTGACTAACAAAAGAATGGGCTAAGGATAATCTGCAACACAACTGGTGAACTTCTGAGGTGTTCTATTATGTTATGGCCTATTGTATGCAGCCTACTCAGAAGGGAGGATGTGTTGTGAGAGCTGTTGTGATGTTGCCCTGTGTTTCCCTAAGCTACCACTAGGTGGGGAACTGTTATTACAAGTGACGGGATGTCCTCTGTTGTTGTTGTTGAATAAACATGCGAGCAAGCTGCAGAGTTTATCGGCTCCGTCTGACTACACGTTATATAGCATACGAGTTATTGCTACCATGACAGACATTGCAGGTGTCGGTTGAATACAGGTGGGGGCAGGGTCAGATTATGGAGGTCTGAGGGGTCCGAGAGGGGTCCAAACTCCTCCCCAACACTCCGAACCCCACCGCCACCACCCACCCCCGCACCAACCTACCGTACCTAAGGATTCTATAAAAGTTTCTTTCTGCTCTTACTTCTTGCAAAGTCGTCCACTAACTAATCAAAGTTGAGCTGTCAAACAAACTCTGATTCTATTGCAAGAAGGGATAGTGAATTCAACCCATTTTGGCACATTTTCATCCTGAGCTCATTTTTTATTCGAGCCAGTCTAGAGAATGACGGTTCCCCTTCACAGTTTGTTATTGGCAGGGTCAAAAACAGTCTGAATGCTATGTAAACATTTTGGAAAGCATTTTTGTTCTTCTGAAATGAATGATTTGTACTGAACAAGTTCATCTGCCAAGCTGATCAGTGGGTCAGGTCAGATCAGTGGGATATGCTGCACCAAGAGATTCTGCCCTTAAAGTGAGCTCACTGTTGGACAGATTATCAGACATGAAAAGAACATGAAAAGAACATGAAAAAGATTGGTCAAGTGTGTGTATGCAGTTAACCGATGGTTAAGACAGGACACAAGTTTTTCAAATAGAACATTGAACGTTTCAATCCGAAACTTTTCTTTTCCACTAAATTCAACACCTGGCTCTGCACTTTCATCAGCCATACATTTGCTCTTCTTTGTGCGCTGGAGGTCATGTCTGTAGTCTTGGGAGAGTGAGTCGGTAACAGTTAAGCTGCCACAAAGTCACGAAGTGAAAGGAGAAGCTATGTAGCCGTGTGTATGTCAATGTCATGTTTCTGCAACTGCAGGCTCGTGGCTCGGAACCGCTGCAGTATTGTATCCCAAAAGTGTGCCATGAAAGCTATCTCCAGGGTGTCTAGCTTGCCACAGAGTGCAGAGGCCTCGCTTCTAGTTTCACGATATCAACCATTAAAGGCTGAATTTAGGCGGTACATTGGTGTCTCGGATTAGTGTCGTTCTTCGCTGTGAGCCTGTAGGGGGAGCAGCAGCTTAAACCAAATAAAAAAAGAGTCACTAAAATGAGCAGAAGAAGAGATCACACTGGTTGGTTATTAGCGTTATTGTTTTTTCCTCAATGAAGCAGTTGATAGGTGAAATTTATCAGACGGAGGGGCTTTCTTTTTTTCTTTTTTATGATGGGTTGAAGTCTGAGCAGCTGCAGGGCTTTAAACAGGGAGGAGAAGCAGGACTCAGTCTGACCCCTTCCTCCAGGTTTCTGCAGGCTGAACTGGAGCTGAATGTCCATCTTAGCCGGCTGTCCTTCACAGAACCCGTCCGCTATATCTACAACCCCCTGGAGTACGCTTGGGAAACTCACCGCTGCTAATTGCGCAGTATCGATACGCGCATTCGGCCACGCAGTCGTCGAAAGTCACTGTGATGATGCTCGGCTCAAACAGCGTGTCCCCCAGGAGAGCTACACAATCCCTGAACGCCCATAGGCTGTATCAGGTGTCAATCATAGAAAACATGAACCCCCAATAACTTCTAAAAACGGAGCTTCACAGAAAAAAGAGGACTTGAGCACAAACCAGTCTTACTATAACTACATGTCAACATCACAAGCAGGGGGGAGAAAAATTTATATTCTGTGTAATAAATTTCTAAAGTTTGTCCACAGCTCCATAAGCTTTGCTGGCGGAGGCGGGATTTATGACCTGTACTGCAGCCCGTCAACAGAGGGTACTGTTCTTGGAGTGGCATCACCCAGCAAGGAGGCAGACGGTGTCCATTCTATATACAATCTATGGTTCAGACCAAAAAAAAGATCATTTTAAATTTGTTTTATACATCAATTGTGGTATCTATGAGCTACAATATGAGATCAAAAACCCTAGCATAAAAGTCCACCATTTTAGCTTAGAGGACTAATAAAGTCATAATAGTGGTTATTATTACTCTAAAAGACACAGGTAGCCAATGCAGAGATTTTAAAATTAGTGTGATGTGGGCTCTCTTCCTGGTCTTCGTCAGCATGCATGCAGCTGAATTTTGTAGGAGCTGAAGCTGTGAAATGTTTTGTCTCTAACTAGATACACTAGTTAGAGACAAAACTATGATTGCCTAGATGTAGTGATCGGAAATATGAAAAATGGCTCATCTTACCCCACTCTCCCCTACACATACTCCACACAGCCATTCAACAACACCCTCAACATGCAACATCACAATATGTCAAAAGTTCCTGCTCGATACTGTTCTGTCTTATTTTTGTTTGAGTGTCCACACTTAAAGTTGTAAAAACCTTTCTATCCACAGGTTCCCTTTGGTGAAGTCAGGTCTGTTGTTGATTGGCTGAAGATCACCGGGGAAGAGGGTCATCCTCCTAATGAGCATCTAAAGCGGCAGATCAGAGGACTCGCTTGCACTCAGAGTGAAGTGAGTGGTGCTCGTTTCTGGGGTTTTTTCAAGAAACTTTGTGGAGAACCAGAAAAGTTCTTCAAACACTGCTTTGTGCACAACTTATGCCCACTCATTTTTATGAGTGCCAGCGGGAAAAACCTAACACCTCCTGAACTGCCTGTGGGTGATCGGGAGAAGCTCCTGGCCCTGTGTGACATTACACTGTGCAAGGTAGTGGAGGCGCTGGGTGTTTCCATGGTGATTGGAGTTGGAAGGGTGGCTGAGCAGAGAGCCCGGCGAGCCTTGACTGCTGCAGGTGTCAGTGTGCGAGTAGAAAGCATCATGCATCCATCACCCAGAAACCCAAAGGCCAATAAAGGCTGGGAAGGAGAAGCCAGAACCAGACTGACAGAACTTGGAGTCATTTCACTGCTAAGCATGAGCAACAATATGATGAAAGCTCACAAGGAGAATGAGTAAGAGGCTTATTGGAACAGTTAAATCTACTACTAAAGAATATAAGCTAACTTCAACCTCACAGGCCAGTTTGTGATGCACAAAGCACTCCAAAGAGAATCTGGTATACAGCCGTGTCTGCTACTGTCTTCCTTTTCATATTGAGAGGTGTGGGGTGAGGTAGAGGGTTGCAAACAGCTACAGTCCAGGTAAAGTCATTTTTAAATTTTACACACTAATCAAATAAAAGAAGTTCAAGAAACAAAGAAAGCATATATTGAAATATGCAAAAATGTAGGCTAAAGGTGTTTGTGAAGGTGCTTTGTTAAAGTGTTGAACTCTAGTTAGAATTCATTCAGCTTCTTAAGACTTAAGTCATTTTGAGTGAAAAGATGTTAGAAAATGTGGATGATTTGGCATTACTCAGTATGCTTTTGCTTAATGATACATCAGTTTTTAATGTTATATGTAAAGGTGGTTTTTTATGTTGAACTTTTCTACAAACTTTGCATAAATTAAAAGAAGACACCTACAAAGCCATTGTAGCTCATTAGTGGTAACATGATGGAGTGAGAAAATATGAATTACCTTTGTTTGTCCTACTGCACACATGTATATTTTTGTATTTTTCTACATTGTCAATGTCTTGATTGTTTTGTTTTTACATGTGTTTTATCTTTTTATGCAGTGATTTATCTACAGTTTTATCATTTTATTGAATTTCTTTTCAGGGATCAATAAAGTTCTTCTTATCTTATCAGTTTCATAGTTGTTTCTCATCAATTTGTCACTTAATTCAGATTAAACGACTTAATACTGATATTAATGACTTTATTCTCCCAAATAATAACTTTGTTCTTTAAGATTTAATAACGTTTTTTTTCTAATTGTGCCCCTTATACTCCGTCCCCCCCCAAGGAAATCTCACTCTAAGCTTAGTTCAAAACTTGAGCGCCTTGGACACCTAAATAAATAAAGTCAGTTGAACAATGATCAATGACAATGATCAACTTTGGGTTTTTTTTAAAACAGGGGGACAAAGTGCTTTACAGATGTAGTTACTGCTCTAAAATATTGATATGATGGGAGTATATATAGACTATTTTTAGTAGCCTTCTAAAGAAAATCGACTGAATTTAATTGAAGTAAAGGCTTCAGTGGAATTTATAATGAAACACAAAGTTTCCAGTTTTTGTTGGGTTACCTATGAGACATAGGCCTACTTAGCTATAGTTTTCAAAACGTTGTCCTTTTGTACTGAAATAAGGAAGTTTTTTAAATTAAAATGCTTTTAAACTCTTAAACTAGTTGACGCAAAATAACCTCCACTTTACTTCAAGAGAAATTTATATTCCATTGAGATTAAAGTAAATTAAAGATAATATTAAACTTTTAGATATAACCTACCAGTGTAAGGGTTTTTCTAAAGTAAACAGCATTTTAAATCTCCATGGTAACCTGTAACGATGTAAAAACTTTAAATCATTACAAGCAAAAGAGAGCGGTCATTTCTGAAGATCAAATCTGAAGAGAATAGCACGAAAGACTTAAGCGGCACACGAACTTACAACTTTTGACGGCTTCATCGTAAATAAAACCTCACCAGACGACGAAGGACTCGGACTAACACCTCTAACCAACACCTGAACAGAGAGGACAACATCTACGACATGGAGACCGTAAGATTTCATGACAATATTAGCATACAAACTTGTGTTACTGCCGAGACTTTCGTGATGGTTAAGCGATGCATCGACAAGGATTAAATGTGTGCATAGATATTTACAGTGTTTATGACTTTACTGTGACAGTCATTATCAAAACTAGAAAAAAATTGCATTTCCTTGCAGAAAATGCATGGAAATGCTGAGTGCTGGAAGCTGAAAAAAGCAGTGCTAAACTGCTAAGAAAAAATGGAGGAAGGTTTAAATGTAAACTTGGTTAAAGAGCTGGAGAAAGAAAAGTAGAAGTTAGATGAAAGTGAAAATTGCTGAAGTGCAAATAGTATGAATGTGCTTCATAAATTAAAATTGCATTCATGCTAAATAAGGCTAGAAAAACTGTCTGAAATTGCAAAAAAAATTGTATAAGGAAGAAAATTACCTTAAAACACAGAAAAGTAAGAAGAGGCATAAGTTTAAGTTGAAGTACTAGAAGAAGTATGATAATAGGTAGTTGTACTAGTGATATTAGTAGTCATGTAAGCAGTAGAAGTAGTTTTAGAATAGAAGAAGTAGAAGTCAAAGCAGTAGAGCTCGTGGTAGAAGTAAAAAAAATATTAAGAGAAGCAAGAGCAGTGGAGGTAGAAGTGAAGATACAAGTTAAAGTGATATAAGTAGTAATTGTAGTGGTAGAACTGGGATTTTGTTTGAAGAATTAGAACATACATAAATAATGGGAATGATTTTGAATTGGGAAAAATTTTAAATAATTAGAAGTCCTAAAGTGTTAAACAGGTTTGAAGTATCAGAAAGGTTTGAATCAGTTTGAATGAGTGTGGATTTGTCTGACGAATTTAATAATGCATGAATAATGAGAATAATTTTAAAGTGGGGAAAAGTTAAATGAACAAAATCCTAAATACACCCCATAATGTCCTCAATGAGCTGAATTTTTGAAGCCCAGAATGGTTTCTGTAGCTCAAAGTTTGTGGGTGGAGATAGGTGGTGATGCAGACACATATTAACTGTGTGTACATGCAGGTCTTTTAGACACAGACACAGACACATGCACACACATTGTCAGACTGTTTGTGTGTGTGTCTCGTTAATGATTGCATCCTAAACAGCTGTGAGATCAAAGGCATTAACTGACCTACTGTTTGAATGAGAAGCTGCCTCTGGACTTCTTCACATAGCATGATTTCCTTATATCCCAGAATGAAAATAAGAACATCGTACAAATCCTCCGCCCTTCATGAACACAATGAATGTGGCCACAACAGTAAGTTAAAAGTCTAGACGTTCGGATGGTTATCTTAAAAGTGATGCATTGACATCACATGAAAGTCCTGCCCACCATGTCAAAGACTCTTCGTGCTTAAGAGCAGAAAAGCTCATGTTATTGTGAGAAATCTCTATGAGAGGTTTTTATGTCTTCTGGGCTATTTAAAGCCGTCAGTCTGAAACTTACTTGACAGTTTCTTTTATACTAACCAATGCTTTCTTATTTCTTCTTTAAATCTGCACAGAAGAGTCAACCCATTCCTGTAAAAGGAGAAGCTCTGACAATTGCGTGCTCAGGCTTCAACACGAGGTAAGAAACACGTTTAACTTATGATGACAGTAAAATGCAAACTCAAATTTATAGGGGTGTGATATTAAACAGTAGTTTACCAATGTGTCTCTAAAACAATCTTTTACCTCTTTTGCATTTAATATGCAGAGTGTAACATTTGAAAAATGACAGAGACCTCCCAGCAGATTATAATCTGAGACAGTTCAGAGTTAAATCTGTGACAGTGCCAGCAAAAATCTAAAGATTCACAAATTTAGGATTTGATTTTGGACTTACACTGTGTTGTGTTTCATACTCTTTTTGTCACAAGACACATGTATTTATGTGATACATTTCAGTGGTTATTTTAACTGAATAAGACAATTCAAAGGCTTCACATAAGACATTTACTGATCAATTAATCAGTCAGACAAAGGAAATGTGTAAAAACACTTAATGAAATAAAGAAGTTTTATCATCGTTTGCTCTTACTGGGAGTCTCTAGTCAAAAACTAGCAAAGTCAGGTATGATAGATAAGATACTCCTTTATTAGTCCCACAAGGGGAAATTCCCAGTAAGGGAAACAAAGACCTTTTTATTTTACTGTGTTTGAAATTGAAGGAAAAACATGTTTTGTATGAGGCCTTTCCCGAATAATATGCATTAAAAAAGCTTTGTTTTAAAAACGCTGTGTCAACTTCAAGAGATTCAGCACTTAGGTTTTTAATGAATAAGTGTGAACAAAGAGGGGGCTTCATTTATCAATAACAACAACACAAAAACAGGGAATAACCTTCAGGTATTTTAAATCACTGTGAGTGTGCTGTATTATTTTTGATACATAAAGACACTTTTTCAGTTTGACTCTGATACTTCCTCAAAGACCATCCAGTGCGTGTTTATTGTATTTTATCGTCTGAATATCACCATGGTTTGAGTCTGTGTGACTGTCATGTGTCTCTGCAGATATTTCTGTTTATGGATTTGTTTTGTTCATTAAAATAACCAACCTGTGTTTCTGTGTTGACCAGTGACACTGCGTCAGAGGCTTCTAACGCAGAAAACTGCTGCCCAACGAACTTTTGGCTGCACAGGCTGTTTGGTCAACCTCTGGTATGTTTCAGAGCTGTTAAAATAAGATCATTTTATAAGTGTGACATTTAAAATCAGACACTACAAATATTTGACACAGTGGGTTTTCATTTTTATATTTGTTGTTACTTCACAGAGAAAAGTCAGAAGTCTAATGAGCCTTCAGCGGAGGTGAGTAAACTGCTCCAACAATCAGCTGTTTATTTGTGCAGCCACAAAAGCTTCTGATAAATGTTGACTAGTCACTGCAGACTCCTTTAAAAACATCACTACAGGTTGTTAAAACAAATGTCACCACACGGTAATGGTGTGTGCTTGTGTCTGCAGAGATGTCACCTCCAATGGTCTGGCTGGCTCCACAGCAACCCCACCTGGGGAGAAAAACAAGAAACCGAAGGAGAAGAAATGGAGTTGTTCTTGGTTTTTTAAGTGCTGTAGTGTAAGTGAAGCATAGGAATACCAGTCTGGACTTCAGTGTTGTTATAAGCATTAGTTTTGGTTTATCTTTCAGTTGATTCTGTTACTGACAAATCAAAATTATTTTTACTCCATTAGAGAGAAAAGCGTGTGTCTCCTCTCTCTGATCATAAAGATCAGCAAAAGCCTCCTCGGGAACTCCAGAGAAGGTAACAAACTCATTTTGTTGACAGGATGGATCAATTTTGGTGTCACCTGATGAGTTAAATCATCACGTGACACAAATCAGGTGTTATCAATTCTTTCTTAAAGCTCCTGTGAGGAATTTTTGGTTTGTGTTGCTTCTTATGCTTCTTTTCATAACCTCTTTCAAATTGTGTTAAGTCTTGTTTTCAAACAAAAAATCTCCCTGCTCAATTTTAAAAGTCGTTGGTCATCTTCACCTGAGATATTTTTGAAAAAGCCTTTTTAAGAAGCTTCAATTTAGCTAAATCATCTGACACCTACACCCCTGACAACAGTTTCTAACCTCACAAATAACTTTGTAGAGATGAACAAACCCTTCAAAGGTGGTCTGATTTGCTTTTTAAGGCCACACAGAGGCATCCCTATCAATATAAGTCAGTTATAATCGGCTGAAAATTCCCCACAGTAGCTTTAACATGAAGTCACTTGTACATGAAAATCAGTATATCTGCTAAAAAGGCCCGGCCCCTTTTTTTTTTCCCCCTTGAAACACACTCACAGTCTGTTCCTCAGTCTTTGAATCATTTATTTATATGTTAAGAAGCGCTGTAATGCTGTAGAATAGCCAACTTGATTTTTTGACTTTAAATTTAAATGAAAAGAGCAGTTTAATACACACTTTCTGTACCAGATTTAATGTGGAGGTTGATATCTCAATAAAGAAAGTTATGGTTTGAGTTAGCTTGAGGTTATCGCTTTCATCCCCTTTTTAACTTTATGTTCTTACTTGGGACATGTTTTGATTAGCACTGAAAGTCAATAAGGATTATTGGCAGTGCTGGTAATGTGAATTAAAAACTCTGAGTGTTGTGTTGGTCAAATCTCGTCTCCTTGAATTCAATCCCACTTCGATCTCAATACTGATTTTTGCTAAAATAACCTTCTCTTCCACGTTTGAGGTCAACTGTAAAATAGGATTCAGTACAAGTAGATTACTAGCCCCACACTCTTGTAGCTCTTTGCTGTTCATTGTTATTAAGTGGAAATGCTGATTAAGCATTTCCACTTATTGTTCTTCCCGTCGGCCATTTTGTTTATTATTATTATTATTATTATTATTCCGCCAATTTTCGTCCGCTTCTAACTCCTTCCTACTTTGTGCTATTCAAACCATTCAAACTTTAAACTGTTCCACTCCTTCAGGACATGAGGTCTCGTACTTTTTACCTTTCTACCTTTTATACTTTTTTTTTTTTTACTTTTTGTGCCAAAATTTTAACATTGAAGTCAATGGGGAAATCTTCCAACTCTTCCTTTTCTTCTTCCACCTTCTAAACCTTACAACTTCAGTATACTTTCACCTAGAGACCTCATTTTTGCTTTAAAATGTTCATTCGCTTGTCGACTATTAAACATGTGTTCCATTTTTTGATATCTTTTACAGTTTTTCCACAATTTAGCACTCAGGGTTTTCAGCAAATTTCCGGCTTTATAATGGAAGAGCTAGAGTGATGATGTCATCGCTAGAGTGGAGACCCCCTCTCTGATCGACAAAACCTCGCTTGAATATATCGCTCCTGCGCCCACAAATTTCACTCCCCAGCCATAAAAAAACAATCAAAATGGAGGTATATGTGTCCTGCTTCTCACAAAAGAGGTTTCAAATCATTAAATCATACCCCTCGGCCAGCAGGTGAACAACTGTCCAAATAGCCGAAGATCTCTCCCATTGGCCCTAATGTAATTTTTCTCCAAGAAAATCCTGAAAATCTCTCAGGCTCAGACCTATTTAACTCGCTGTTGTGGCCACATTTTTCAGAGTACAGACATGAAAAACACATCATTGTGTTCATGAGGGGCGGAGGCCCTAAATTCGATGAAGTTAGGCAGCTTCTCATTCAAACAGAACGTCAGTTAATGCCTTTGATGTCTGACACCTGTTAAGATGCATTAATTAAAACACACACACACCTTCTTGTACTTGCTGCTTTTGTAATAACCTGGTTATAACCTGTGACATTACCTGGTAATAACCTGGTTATAACCTGGTTATAACCTGAGACAATACCTGGTAATAACCTGGTTATAACCTGAGACATTACTTGGTAATAACCTGGTAATTACCTGGTAATAACCTGAGACATTACCTGGTAATAACCTGGTAATAACCTGGTTAAAACCTGAGACATTACCTGGTAGTAACCTGGTTATAACCTGAGACATTACCTGGTTATAACCTGGTTATAACCTGAGACATTACTTGGTTATAACCTGGTTATAACCCGGTTATAACCTGAGACATTACCTGGTTATAACGTGGTTATAACCTATTTATAACCTGAGACATTACCTGGTTATCACCTGGTTATAACCTGAAACATTACCTGGTCAGAACCTGGTTAGAACCTGAGACATTACCTGGTAATAACCTGGTTATAACCTGGTTACTACCTGGTTGTAACCTGAAACATTACCTGGTTATAACCTGAGACATTACCTGGTTATAACCTGGTTATAACCTGAGACATTACCCTGTTATAACCTGGTAATAACCTGAAACATTACCTTGTTATCCCCTGGTTATAACCTGAGACATTACTTGGTTATAACCTGGTTATAACCTGAGACATTACCTGGTTATCACCTGGTTATAACCTGAAACATTACCTGGTCAGAACCTGGTTAGAACCTGAGACATTACCTGGTAATAACCTGGTTATAACCTGGATACTACCTGGTTGTAACCTGAAACATTACCTGGTTATAACCTGAGACATTACCTGGTTATAACCTGGTTATAACCTGAGACATTACCTTGTTATCCCCTGGTTATAACCTGAGACATTACTTGGTTATAACCTGGTTATAACCTGAGACATCACCTGGTTATAACCTGAAACATTACCTGGTTAGAACCTGGTTATAACCTGAGACATTACCTGGTAATAACCTGGTTACTACCTGGTTGTAACCTGAGACATTACCTGGTTATAACCTGAGACATTACCTGGTTATAACCTGGTTATATCCTGAGACATTACCTGGTTATAACCTGGTTATAACCTAAGACATTACCTGCATATAACCAGGTTATAACCTGGTAAAATGATAAAAATTGTGTAATGTATACTGACTAAATATTGTTTTTATCTATCTATCTATCTATCTATCTATCTATATATATATATATATATATATATATATATATATATATATATACATATAGTAGTAACCTGGTTATAACCTGAGACATTACCTGGTTATAACCTGGTTATAACCTGAGACATTACTTGGTTATAACCTGGTTATAACCCGGTTATAACCTGAGACATTACCTGGTTATAACGTGGTTATAACCTATTTATAACCTGAGACATTACCTGGTTATCACCTGGTTATAACCTGAAACATTACCTGGTCAGAACCTGGTTAGAACCTGAGACATTACCTGGTAATAACCTGGTTATAACCTGGTTACTACCTGGTTGTAACCTGAAACATTACCTGGTTATAACCTGAGACATTACCTGGTTATAACCTGGTTATAACCTGAGACATTACCCTGTTATAACCTGGTAATAACCTGAAACATTACCTTGTTATCCCCTGGTTATAACCTGAGACATTACTTGGTTATAACCTGGTTATAACCTGAGACATTACCTGGTTATCACCTGGTTATAACCTGAAACATTACCTGGTCAGAACCTGGTTAGAACCTGAGACATTACCTGGTAATAACCTGGTTATAACCTGGATACTACCTGGTTGTAACCTGAAACATTACCTGGTTATAACCTGAGACATTACCTGGTTATAACCTGGTTATAACCTGAGACATTACCTTGTTATCCCCTGGTTATAACCTGAGACATTACTTGGTTATAACCTGGTTATAACCTGAGACATCACCTGGTTATAACCTGAAACATTACCTGGTTAGAACCTGGTTATAACCTGAGACATTACCTGGTAATAACCTGGTTACTACCTGGTTGTTACTACCTGGTTGTAACCTGAGACATTACCTGGTTATAACCTGGTTATATCCTGAGACATTACCTGGTTATAACCTGGTTATAACCTAAGACATTACCTGCATATAACCAGGTTATAACCTGGTAAAATGATAAAAATTGTGTAATGTATACTGACTAAATATTGTTTATCTATCTATCTATCTATCTATCTATATATATATATATATACATATATCATTATTATTGCAATCACATGCCATCTATTTCTTTTCAGCCTCAGGAAAGAGGGCCATGTTGCCAGCTGAAGTGTGCAGTGCATTGTGGGGCAGAAGAAGTATGTGAAGCAAGCTCCGCTCCTTACTCAGAAATCGAAGCCGATTGAGTATACATCCGGGCATTTCTCGCCTACACAAAATTCGTATACTGTACAGTGTGAACGCACTGCCTACTCAATTCGAGGGTGGGGTTAGTATGAGTAGTACGAGTAGTATGCAAGGAATAACCGAACAAGGTCATAATAATTATGTTGTGTGTTGGTCATTTTGCAGCCCTCTGCTGCTCATCACACGCCTAGCAGGTGGTGTATAGCATTATCACCATGGATACACAGATGTTTGTGTGATTTTTATCATGCACTGCCGCCTGGTTTGTGTCGTGTAGATGTTGATTATGAAAACACTTTGCAATAATTTGGAAACGTGAAGGGGGAGCTGCTGCTGCCCGGTGTTTACGGTGAATAGACAGCAAATCACATATGCAAACGCAAAAAAGAAAACACGACAGCGAATCACATACGCAAACGCAAAAAAGAAAACGCAACCACAAATCCCAAAACACAACAGCAAATCACAAATGCAAACGCAAATGAGAAAATGCAACCGCAAATCCCAAAACACGACAGCATCGTCTGTCTTCTTCTTCGTTGTAGTTTAATGGCAGTTTACTCCGCTGGGGGTGGAGTACTACTGCCACCTGCTGGATGTCGGAACAGGAAAGTAAACACAAACATGGACGCCGAAAGTGAAAGTGTACTTGAAATTATCCAGCAATATTTTCATGCAGGACACAAATATGATGTAATAGTCGACATGTTGTCGACTATTCACGGCATAAGCATGAGCATTCAAACGCTGAAGACCCGCTTGAAAGAAGCTGGCTTGTTTAGACCACAACTAAACTACAACAAAGAAGAAGAAGACAGACGATGCTGTCATGTTTTGGGATTTGCGGTTGCGTTTTCTTTTTTGTGTTTTGCATATGTGATATGCTGTTGTGGTTTCTCTTTTGCATTTGCAAATGTGATTTGCTGTCGTGTTTTGTGATTTGCAGTTGCGTTTTGTGATTTGTGGTTGCGTTTTCTCTTTTGCGGTTGCGTTTTGAGTTGTTGTCGTGTTTTCTCTTTTGCGGTTGTGTTTTGCACTTCCAGGCCACCGTAACCCTGAGTGAGATGGTCCGTTTTTTGTGAAATGGGACACACTACCCTTAGGAGGACTTCCTGGTTGAGTCACCAAATGTCCCCGCCTTCAGGCTCGTGCCACGACTGACTTGAAGAAAAGCTGCGGAGCGCAGCAGTTATTTTTTAACTGTGCGACCTTGCACAGACACAAATCAAAAGATACATGCAAGCACAGATCATTTCCACAAAATTCATCCAATGATTGTTTTGTATGAAGTAGTATGAGGGCCATATTGAGAAATTTTTTTAAAGACTTCGAGATTTAAGTAGTGAATTTACGAGAATAAAGTCATTAATTTATGAGAATTTAGTCGAAAGGTTACCTGTTATTTCAGAGGAGAGTTGTTAAAATTAGGGCCATGGAGCATTTGAAGGAACTGTGCTTCAGTATAGGTTTCACAAACAAGGAGATACTTCATCCTTTGGCACATCAACATTACATTGTCACAAGTATAAAGACTTAAAAAAGACTATATGAGAAATACGTCTTTTCCACAGGGAGAAAAACAGGTGTACTTGAAGGAAATCGCTGCTTTTGTGGAGGCAGAAATAGATATGCTGTGGATAAATCTATCAATGCAGCTGAAAATATCTGTGAATGACATTGGGCTTTAATTTATGATATGAATCCATATGCTAAAATGAGGTGTTGGTGTCTCTGCAGGTGTAGGTTACCGTCGGTGTCAGAGACGTGGTGCTCGTCGGAGCTCGACTCCCTCTGGATCACAAATGCTGATCATCAGTTGGATTGTTTCTTCAGAAACCACAAAAACTCTCTGAATGACCCACTGATACATCCACTGATAACCCTGCAGATGACCGGTTCAGTCATTTCCCCCTCCACAAAAGCAGCTTTATGACTTTATTTACTTCATGACTTTATTCTCCCAAGTTTACAACTTTAATTTGTAAATCTTAAAAAAAAGAAAAAAAAAATGTGTCAATGATCCTCTGCTGTAGTTTTGTCAGCTTTCTTATTTCTAATGTTTTTGATTGTGGTTGCAGAGCGGATCAGTTCTATTCTAAAGACTATAATGTTTGGTTTTGCAGCTGCAGATTTTAGTGAGTTAAAAGTCATGCACTCATACAGCCTGAGCTGACTATCTGCTGTTTTTGGATTTCTTGTATTTTCTTTGAAGACGCGTTGCGTCTCCAAGTGAGTCCAGCCTCTCAACCGAAATGCGCAGCTGTGCAGCGGCACGCAAAGAATTCTGGGATACCAATGGCATGAAAGCATGCATAAATGCACGCTTGAAAAAGGGGAGGGGGTAGTGTGGTTTTGAGACTGAATTCAAAGCGCGCTTAGCATTTCGTGCCAAATGGGACACCGTTCACGCTGCGTGATGACCTAGACCTAGTATCTAGACTGGACGCCGTCTGTCTCCTCGCTGGGTGAAGCCACTCCGAGAACAGCACCCTCTGTTGATGGGCTGCAGTATAGGTCATAAATCCCGCCTCCGCCAGCAAAGCTTATGGAGCTGTGGACAAACTTTAGAAATTTATTACACAGAATATACATTTTTCTCCCCCCTGCTTGTGATGTTGACATGTAGTTACTGTCAGACTGGTTTGTGCTCAAGTCCTCTTTTTCTGTTTTTAAAAGTTATTGGGGGGTTCATGTTTTCTTTGATTGACACTTGATACAGCCTATTGGCGTTCAGGGATTGCGTAGCTCACCTGTTAAGGGATACGCTGTTGAGCTGAGAGTCATCACAGCTACTCTCCTGCCGAATGCGTACAATGCTACTGCACAATATTGGTTTTAAGAAAAGAAGAAAAATCCTAGAAATACAGAGAGCTTTTTGGCTTCACATTCGTATACAGGCGGGAGGTGGAACCAAGTTGTCCATAGTATATACAGTCTATGCTAACGACGAGTCAAGCGCCTCCACGGCAAATATTAACCCATTTAAACCAGGACAGCATGTACGCATTTCAACCTTCAAAGCCAGTGGCGCTGCTGCGCATGTCTACTCTTCAAGCCAGGGGCGGGTACGTCATTTTGTAACATTCTGTAGTTTTTTAATTATTTCTGGAGTCATGGTGAATCAAATCACCATACTGCCTCTGATAGGCTAATAAAGCTTATTAAAGCACTCGGATTCATGCTCGGATCTTGCCACGTGCTTCGTGAGTAAAGTAAACAATGACGGAGGCAGAGAGCAGCTTCGGAGGAGAAGCATCTAGCAGGGTGAGCACTCTTCGTATTGAGTGCTTTGGCTCACACTATCAGCGATTTCTGTGAGTGTTACATGACTTTAGGTGAGCACAGAGATGAACACACTGTCAGCAAAGGCTGCTTAATAAAAAATAACTAAAAAACATAGGACAGGAGAGTGAAAAGGAGAAAGGGAGTCAAATGGCTATTTGTTACAAACACAATATATCTGGATGTGTCATAGGTTTTATTTGTAAATAGTTATTTTTGAATTTTAGTTCATGAGTGAATGAAGAGGAAAAGACAGGAGATGACCTATAACATTCAAAAGCAGAAGAGGAGGCATGACAAGACAAGAGGACAGCTCTGAAATGTACTTAAAGAGTGAGGAAGACAAAGGAGAGGAAGGAGTGAAGAGAAAGTGAGGGGAAAAAATGAACAGAAATGGAAATCACACAAAAACTTTCGGAGAAAGCAAAAAAAGAGAGAGCAGATGAAAAAGGGTTGAGACTAAAAGATTGAAGAA